CAAAAAAGAGATTCATTTTGGAATTACTAATTGATTTTAGAAACTTCCAATTATAATATAACATCTAGTAAATGACATAAAGTAAATAAAAAGTTATCAAGAGTGCCAGAGCCACGCGGCAGCTTTGGCTGTTCTACGGATGGGCCAGCTCGAGCCGGAGAGGTACCACGACCGAACAGAACACCAGCGTGAAGTAGAATTTATACTCCTACGTTTCGCACGGTTGGTTGCACTAACCAAGCGAGACGCCCGTAACGTGGTAGCGAAATTTATAAATAAAAGACACTACTATAGCATGGAGAATCCCTCAGCATCCACGATCTAGGTACCGGTTTCTGCCTGAGCGTGGGTGCTCAGGCTGCCCTGCGTATTCTGCGGGGGGAGGGGGAGGGGGCGCAAATCCCACAACAGATCCCATCCGCAGAGATTTTAACGTCCACCACGCCAAATGGCTCGATTCAAGTTTAACCAATCATGCGGGTAGATATGTTTATTAGGACTTTGTGCTGGCATGTGGTCTGGCACAACCGGTTACTTCTCTAACGCCGATTCCAGATGTGAAAGATCATACACGTTCCCTGTTGGATCTTCTGCTGACTTTTCATCCGGACGGATATCAGGTTTCCATCGACGCTCTCCTCTCGGCTCTTCGAATCATTGTCTGATCCGAAGTGTGGTTCCATGTTCGTTCCCTTCGCAGTTGCGCTCTGCAAGGTGCCGCCATGTTTGACATTACAGGTCTGCGGTCTTTCTTTGCATCCTACCCATGACAAATCTCAACCTTGGTTTGATCGCTCCTTTAAGATTACATTAAGCAATTAACAAGAGTGTTATCAGGCCTGGGCTGACGCTTCGGCGGCTCGGAATGTAAACACCAGCAAGCTTAAAAATAAGTATAACTTCGCCTCTAGGTCTTTTAAAAGAGTTATTGCCAAGGCAAAGTATGAGCACATTGGCAGAATTGGCGTGAAATTAGTTCGCCTTCCTTCGGGAACCCGTGCATTTTGGTCTCTCGCCAAGGCTGTGCAAGGAAATTTTTTTATGCCATCACTACCATCTCTGGCCAAAGCTAACCTTTTAAGCTGTCATTTTTGCGTCCAACTTGACTCTCGGTGCCGAAGGGAATACACCACCGACCATCTCGTGGTGGAGAGCTCTATGTTTGATGTGCAATTCACACAGTAGGTACTCAGTACATATAGTAGCACTCCTCTCATTGGACATCCATAAATCGAGTGGGCCTGACGGAATTCCCCCAATTGTGCTGAAGACATGTGATCTAGAGTTGGCACTGGTTATAACGCGTCTTATGCGGTACTCCTACTCCCTAGGCGTAGTTCCGAAATCATGAAAGACAGCTTTCGTGCACCCGATCCCTAAAAAGGTAACCGTTCTGATCCGTCCAATTACAGGCCTATCGCTATCACCTTCTTGTTCTCTAAAATAATGGAGTCTATTATTAACAGACAGCTCATGCGTTACCTTGGCGGTTAGTTAAGACAAAACGAAGGCCTTCGATCGAGTTTGTCACAAAGCGCATCTCTCGAAGCTTTCTTCTTATGGGCTTCCCGAGAAATTGCGCAATTGGATCACCAGTTTTCTGGCCGATAGCAGCATCAAGATCGTAGTAGGTAAGTCGTAGTAGTGCATACTCCGATTGCAAGCCTACGAGGGTGGATTGAAAAGTACTCGGTCTAACCAAGAAAATAAACACATACTAAATCAGTTATATTTTTATTTTTCTACATAATCACCATCAAGTTCAATACACTTTTGCCACCTCCCCTTCCAAGCATTTAGACCGTTGAAAAAAAATGATTCTTCCTTAGAGTCAAAATATGCGTCTACAGCTGCTTTGACCTCGTCGTTTGTCGAAAATCTTTGACCTCCCAAGTGCTTTTTTAGATTAGGGAACAGAAAGAAGTCTGATGGTGCCAGATCAGGTGAATACGGCGGATGCGGTAACAGTTCAAAGCCACAGTTGTGAATTTCAGCCATTGACTGTACTAACGTGTGAACACGAGCGTTATCTTGATGAAACAGGACTTTTCTTCTGAGCATTCCTCGACGTTTTTCTTTTATTTCCTCTCGTAAACGACGTAGTAAGGTGCAGTAGTAATCAGAGTTTATAGTCTGACCCCTTTCAAGATAATCAATCATAATCACACCTTTCGAGTCCCAGAATACTGAAGCCATCACCTTATTTGCCGACAAAATCGACTTAGCCTTTTTAGGGGGTGGTGAACCAGGTCTTCTCCACTGTTTTGATTGTTGTTTTGTTTCCGGTGTACAGTAATGAACCCATGTTTCGTCCATAGTAACAAAACGATTCAAAAAATCGTCTGCATCGGCTTCAAATAACTCCAAACAGTCGCGTGAAATAGTCAATGGCGTCCTTTTTTGTTCAACTGAAAGCAGTCGCGGAACCCACCTCGCAGACACCTTGTGGAAACCCAACTCATTGACAATGATGTTTTGAGTTCGTTCATAAGAGATGCCTATAATCTTGGCTATCTCTCTAATTTTTAATCTGCGGTCTCCCATTATTAAATCAAGTACTTTTTTAATATTTTCGTCAGTAGTTGACGTCGAAGGCCTTCCAGAGCGGGATTCATCTTTCACACTCTCTCTACCACGCTTAAATTCTGCTATCCATTTTTTGACGGGTGAATATGACAGAGCACAATCGCCTAATGTACTGACCATGTCATCATGGATGGCTTTTGATGATAGCCCCTTCTTATGGAGGTACTTAATGACGGCACGCTGCTCGATTTGCTCCATTCGCGGAAATTATGTCCGATTACTTTGTTAATAAATTTATAAAATCGCACACGTTTCGAACTTCACACAATGAACTAGTCTGAACTGAACTAAATAATGTGGGTAGATTTGATTTTTAGAATTGAATGGATCTGTGTTAGGCCGAGCACTTTTCAATCCACCCTCGTATTAACGCTGATGTTCCCAAGGCTGCGTACTATCACCAACGCTCTTTTTTCTCCATATCAATTATATTATGATTCAAACCGGTAACATTCATTGCTATGCGGACGACAGCACTGTTGATGCTTTATACACCGGCCGTGCCAATATTTCTCGGGAAATTGTTAACGAGTATCGAAACAAACTTGTGTTTGAAGGCAAGACATAGTTGAACAAAGTCTATGATTGAGGGCGACTAAATCTAGTAAAGTTCAATGCCCAAAGGACGCAAGTTTGCGCATTTACCGATAAAAGGAACCCCTTTGTCGTATCTCTTCATTTTCAGGGCACTCCCCTTGTTGCCTCCGCCGGTATTGTAATCCTCGGCGTCAACATATCGAATGACGTGCAGTTTCGTATTCATTTGGAGGAGTAGGCCAAACTGGCCTCTAAGAAGCTTGGCGTTCTCAGCAGAGCGGGACAGGTATTTCATGCCAGCACACCGTCTGCAACTTTACAAGTCGCAGTTCAGCCTCACAAGAAATATTGTTCCCATCTCTGGGCCGGGGATCCCCAGTGTCAGCTCCGTTCATTTGATCGCATCCAGCGCATAGTGGTTCGAATCATCGGCGACCAAGCACTTTCTGATTGTCTTGACTCACTGGCGCTGCGAAGAGGTGTTACATTTCTTTGCGGATTCTATAGTATTTACCACGGGTAGTGCTCAGAAGAATTATTCGGACTAACTCCAGCCGCACAATTTCACCATCTCACAACGCGACAGAACTCGTGTTGGCGACGCAAGATCAACATCTCACTAAATGATTCATAGTTTCTTAAGATTAATGTCAAATTTATGTTAATTTTATAAAATGCTAATTTATAAGAGACAAAGATTTGTATTAACTTGATTTGTATTAACTTAAGAGACATAGCAATCAGCTATGTTATGCGAATTAAAGAATTTAAGAGTATTTTCATTTATATTAAACATCTGTTTTGTAATGTTTATTAATGTCTTAATAATAGATTAGATATGGAAAGTTTAGTGCTGGACTGGAATAATGGCCTCCTATTTGATCGCGAGGGTCGTGTAAAAATGAGTTTGTCAACCCACACGAGTATTTAGCAGAACTGAAAAACGCAAGTCCGAAATGTTTCTTAAGAATAATTAATTAAAATAATATCTTTTATTAATGTATTAAAATGCATATAATGAATGTTTAAGATAGATTTTGTATAATGATAATAATGAATTCTATTTTAGTAATAAAATTACGAAATAATAATAAAATTGTATAAGAAAATTAAAGTTTTAATTATGATTAAAGGTTTTAATTTTGTCATTAAACTATTGTATTGTTTAAAATATGTGAAATTAGTAAAATTGTAATATTTAGTTTAATATTTTATCAATTCTTTATGTAATGAAATAATATCTTTATAAAATGAATGTTTTAGTTGTTTTTCTATTGCGATTTCTATGTACTTTATGTGAAATATAATTGTTTTGTGATATTGTCGTGGGTAATAAAGATATGGAATAATATGTGGAAATGTGATACTTAAAATTATCGAATAAATAATTCAATATGTTTCGCATTCCCTCTTCACCCATTTCCCATTTCGCCGTATTGGTGTCGTAAGAAGCGCCTATGGGAAATAGGGACACTATACTACTATAAGGAAATGTCGAAAACCTCATTCATAGTTTTCGACAGATGGCATTATACTCTTAAGATACCAAAACCGGCGAGGCGGTCGACGATCCGCCGCCTGCCAAGCGTGGCGTTATAGATAAACCATCTCTACTGAAGAACATGCTCATATACAGCAGTAAACTTTTAAGCGCCAATAAAGAAGAAAAGATCGAATTCCTATATGCGGATTATATTAATTAAATAAACCGGACGAGTGCGAGTAGGACTCGCGCGAATTATTTAATTTTAATTATTTTTATATTCTTTGATATTTTATTCATCACAGGTATTATAGATAAGGTAAGCTCCGAACTTTGCTATTTTAAAAAGAAAGTCGGATTGAAGGATAAACTTGAGATTTTCGGACATTTCCTTTTACTTGTAAGAAGCAGCAAGGTACTTACCATATTGATTCTAGTCAAATATAAAAATAAATTTAAGTAATTCATATTGCTTTCATATTTGGATAATTTTTTCTTCTATTTCGAGGAGGTGGCTTACATATATAAATTCTATCCATACCTGGAGCAATTATTTGAAGGTCCGCCATAAACAAACATTTGTTTCTTGTGGGATTCACACGCCGTTTAAATAACATAAATAGCCGTAAGGTCTTTTGATTGCGTTTACTTAGAAGCTTAAATTTTTTACACCTCCTACGGGGCGCGGAATTTAATATCCTACTAATTTCTAAAAAAAACGGCCTTGACATACGGACAAAAAATGATAATGTAAAGGTTCAATGTTTTATTTTTAAGATAAGGAACACTAAAAAGTAAAAGATTAATGGTTATTATCAATAATAAAGTGCAAGTACTGGTTATTTGAAGGAAAAGACAAATTTTCATAGGCTCTGTTAAAAAAATCCGATCTGTCTGATCCATTACATCACATAAACACTCACGCCTGTCACCCAGAGTGGTAGGCAGAGACTACAGACTTCCGTTTTGCACGATTCTGACACACCTCTCTCGCCTCTTTCACATCCCTATACCTACGCATACATGCTAGTCAGTTAAGGATACTCCTAATTGGCCCCGTTTTCAATAAATCGCTAATTTGGTCGATAAATTTTCGCCTAGGACGTCTCTTTCCGACTCTGCCATTCACTTCTGCAACATAAATTTTCTTTGTCACTCTTTCCTCATTCATTTTTTCCACATGACCAACCCACCGAAGCATTCCTTCCTTAATCCTGGTCACAACATCGTCTTGCAAACCACACTCTTCTCTTATCACACAATTTCTCACCCTGTCATTCAGATTCAGCGCTCACATACTCCTTAACGACCGCATTTCTACTGCGTTTATTCTACTCCGTCACACCCAACTCGCTACCATACGTTAAAGTAGGGACCAACACAGCATTGTGAATTGACATACGTGCCTCTTTTGACACATTTTGACTCTTCACAATAGAGTCAGAATCAGTATTGCTTTAGCTCTTTTTACTCTCTCTGCGGTAGCTCTGAAGCTAGAGCTAGCTAGTGTCACGTTCTCGGCTTTAAAGGAAAACATCGTAACAATGCAGTGCAGGTTGCACTTTTAAAAATAAAAATAAAAACATATCGTTTTCATGTTGTGACGTCGTGAATACACGAACACTTCCCTGCTTCAAGCTCTCTCTATACTTGTGTCTGTGCTTTGTGTCACTGAGACGTATATGGCTGTTACTTTTAGATAAAAGCTACATTTTTTATCTATAAGTTTCTTTATAATCGCTTATAAAGCACTAAATGAGATAAGTCTATTTTAGATATATTAATAATATAGGAATCAATAAAATTTATGGAGACATAAACGTCTTATAACCCAAGCTTAGACGATATCATAGTCTTTTATATTACGCAATTAATAGTTCACTTAGTATTTTATGGCTAAATAATATCTACTTATAGTTTATATGTTCGATAAACGTTTGAGATAATTTTTATTATTTTCATTAGTCTGCGTTTGTACAGTGTAAGTATATGTCAGAGTCAAAACTCATAACCGGTCAAAACTACTTTTGACTGCAAAAATTAGGCAAAAGTAGTTTGACTAAGGGGACGTTGGCCTATATACATTTTAACTAATTTTTGAAATCAAAAGTAGTTTTAACTAATGATGTTGGTCAAAACCACTTTCAACTGAAACTTCTCTCTCTTTTTTCTTACATTGGTCAAACAAAAATATCTATAAAAACCCGCGTGAAGGAATATATAGCTGACGTGAAGCACCGACCGCTCCGGGAAATCTGCAATCTGCGAACATGTTCAAGATCGTCCCCACCATTACATTAGATTTGATAAACCACAAATCCTCGCAAAAGCACCCGAAACGTCGGGATAATAAAAATAAGTTAAAGTAGTAATTACACGCTATAAAATCCGTAAATAATAGTTTTATTCAATGTTACTTACTCTGCTACCTATTTTCTTCTTTAAGCACTGGTGCTTGCTTTTCCACACCCATGGAAGAGAATATGAAACTATTCAAAAGCGAATTAAATCAGGAGTTGTCTAAAGTTTGTGATGAAATGAAGAAAAGTGAACTGTTCAATTCATTATATGATGATGGGTTGTATAATTAATGTGCGATGGTTGAAACACAGTTTAAGTAAGTAAAATAAACATAAATTTCGATCATAATTTACACATTGTCTTATATCGATTCTTAATAACATAACATACATAACATAAACACTCACGCCTGTCACCCAGAGGGGTAGGCAGAGACTACAGACTTCCATTTAGCACGATCCTGACATACCTTTCTCGCCTCTTCCACATCCATATACCTACGCATACATGCTCGTCGGTTAAGGGTACTCTTAATTTGGCCAATTTTTAGTATATCGCCTATTTGGTCGACGAACTTCCGCCTAGGACGTCCTTTTCCGACTCTTCCATTCACTTGTGCAACATATATTTGCTTTGTCAGTCTTTCCGCATTCATTCTTTCTACATGACCAAACCACCGAAGAATTCCTTTCTTAATACTGGTTACCGCATCATCTTGCAAACCACACTCTTATTTTATCACACAGTTTCTCACCCTGTCATTCAGATTCAGCCCTAACATACTCCTTAGCGACCGCATTTCTACTGCATTTATTATACTCTCGTGCTTCTTCTGCCACACCCAACTTTCACTACCATACGTTAAAGTAGGGACTAATACAGCATTTATAATCAGCATTCTTAATATAAATTTAAACATTTTAACAGTCAACCACTACAACTTGGAAAAGGAATGAAACGAACGAGCAGTGAAGAACCCAAGATCATCAAAAAACCAAGAACGGAAGAAGAAGCGTCTACCTCTGCAGGGAACAGTGTCGGTAACGATGATCAAGTTGAATGTCCAACGTGCCATATATTTATCAAGTAAAGGTATTTAGCTAATCATTTTTTTAAAGTGATGTTGGTCGCGTTAATGACCAGAAAATGGTGCGGATTTGGGGTCCCGGGTTCGATTCCCGGGTCGAGCCAAAACCTTATTATGCGGGAACGATTTTCTTGGTGGACTGTATGCGTGAGTAGTTAGGTTGTACCAGTTCTGGTGCACTTGTAGAAAGGTTGTACCAGTTCTGGCGCACGACGTTCGTCGACTCACAATCCTAAAAAAAAAAAAATTAACTCTTATCTAATTGATATCCGCTGCGAGCCTCAACCGTCATTAGCGCTCCATTGTCCTTATCTACTTATCTATTGTTGATTGACTACCGTCATTATCTATTATTCGTCAGCGTGTGGGTCGGCTTATGCTATTGTATTATACTCCTTTGTTCCTATCTACAACACTAATCTGAATCATCAATAAAACACATTACCTAATTTTGTTAAAATTTTTATTTATAAAATACAAAATCTTATTACTTATTATCTATAAAATGGGAGCGAAACATCTCATCCACTAACATATCGTTGTACAATGTGTTCTCTGTAAATATACTCGTAAAGCTATGCATTGAACATCCCTGAAACTTATATAGCAAATACATTAAGCAATATTCGCCACAAACTGAAGTCCTATCAACATTCCAGTTCCATCTTTTAAACACATTACCTAATTTTGTTAAAATTTTTATTTATGAAATACAAAATCTTATTACTTATTATCCATAAAATAGGAGCGAAACATCTCATCCACTAACATATCGTTGTACAATGTGTTCTCTGTAAATATACTCGTAAAACTATGCATTGAACATCCTTGAAACTTATATAGCAAATACATTAAGCAATATTCGCCACAAACTGAAGTCCTATCAACATTCCAGTTCCATCTTTTAAACACATTACCTAATTTTGTTAAAATTTTTATTTATGAAATACAAAATCTTATTACTTATTATCTATAAAATAGGAGCGAAACATCTCATCCACTAACATATCGTTGTACAATGTGTTCTCTGTAAATATACTCGTAAAACTATGCATTGAACATCCCTGAAACTTATATAGCAAATACATTAAGCAATATTCGCCACAAACTGAAGTCCTATCAACATTCCAGTTCCATCTTTTACAATTGCGTACAGGTGCCCGTCCATATGAATCAAAATATTCACCGACGTCATTCGTATCGATATATAAAGCTACCCAATGTGACCCTGGTTTATCATCTGTACCCAAATTGCATATTACCTAGTCAGGTCATAAATTCTATCACATGTTTAATGTAAAATAATTGAAACAAGTTTATTCATTATGTAACCATTTATATACCAAAATGAACTTAACAAAACATAGATTCTTATGACACTATAGTTTATTCAAAATGACCTCCGTAATTTTGAATACAGGCCTTCAATCTGCGCGGCCAGTCGTCTATCTCACCACGAACGAGGTCCATGTCATATCGGCGGCTGTCTTAATTAAAGATGTCTTGAGTGACTCGAAATTGGGATGAGGCTTTGAGCACGCCTTTTCCTCCAAGTGTTACCATATCTTGTAATCTAACGGATTCAAATCTGGACTGGTCTTTGTGTCGGATGAAATCGATTTCACGCGCCGCCAGCCAGTCTTTTTTTTTGTTTTTAAAGAACGTTACCTCCACACTAGGTTTTTCTCCTGTATCGTGGGGGCAGTTTACAAACACAAATTTCACAAGGACAAACATCCAAACTCGGAACAATTACTTGTAGGTCGTACAAATACTTGTTCCGTGCGGGATTCGAACCCGCGACCCCCAAGCGCAGCCACTCATTGCTAAGCCACTACGCCACGGAGCTGTCAAAAGATTTGTGTGCTCTTCGCTCTATGAGCTGACGCCGAATCTTGTTGGAATACCCAGTGCCTGTTATTGAACATGGTATGAGAAACAGGTTACACAAGGTTCGTCAGGACTGTATTTTGATACACAACTGCATTCGTTTTTAACCTTTCTCACAAAAATGTAAGCCCCAATAAGAAACTCCCAACCATACC